CCTCCCAGGTTCAAGTGATTCTCCTGCCTCAGCCTCCCGAGTAGCTGGGATTACAGGCACGCACCACCATGCCTGGTTAATTTTTGTATTTTTAATAGAGATGGGGTTTTACCATGTCAGCCGGGCTCATCTCAAACTCCTGACCTCAAGTGATCCACCCGCCTTGGCCTCCCGAAGTGTTGGGATTATAGGTGTGAGCCACCGCACCCGGCCACAAGTCTTTCTTTACTACTCATCCAGTGAGTGACTTTACAGCAAAGAAGAACATCCCTCCCACCCTCTCTCTCAGGCCTGGTTATAGGGCCACATCCACCGCCACACGGGACCAGCCTGGGCACCTCCTCTCCAGGGCCTCAGCCCAAGAGGCTGAGTGGGCAGCAGTGCCTCTGGGACCCTCGGGCTGACCTGCCCGGTTTGGTAACAGTGAGGGGAATCTCTTTTTTTTCCCCTTTGCTCACAGAAACAAAGACACACCTTTCTCAAAAATAACTTTTACTATAAGGGGAATGATTAAAAAATTAAAAGTAGAGAAATAGATAGTTTTCCAGAACATGGTTTCTGTAATTCCACCAAGCTCAGCCTCATCATGACTTGGTTGATTTCATTTCCAGAACCTTCCACCCTCAATTTATTTTCTTTGCCTCAGTCAGCCCTGAGAAGAGGGAGAGGGCAAAACCACCCTGAGTGACTCTCCTTGGGGCCTGAGGTTGTAGGGTGGAGGCTGGTGCCAGACCCAGACATGCTGCCACGGCTGCTCCTGGAGTGACCCTCCCTCTGCCCCTCTGTCCCAGGGACCCACACTGGGCTCTGTGAGGCCCTGTACCTGGTCCCTGGAGTAAGGATGGGCTCCGCCAGGCACTGACTACTGAGGCGGTGCAGTAGAGATAAATGGAGTTTGGGAATCTGACAAACTGAGTCCTTCCTGTCTTCCTCTGTTCTCAGCTGAATGATTTTTTTTTTTTTTAAGACAGAGTCTTGCTTTATCACCCAGGCTGGAGTGCAGTGGTGTGATCTCGGCTCACTGCAACCTCTGGTTCCCAGATTCAAGCAGTCCTCCTGCCTCAGCCCCCCGAGTAGCTGGGCTTACAGGCATGCGCCACCACACCCGGCTAATTTTTGTATTTTTAGTAGAGACAGGGTTTCACCGTGTTAGCCAGGCTGGTCTCGAACTTCTGACCTCAGGTGATCCACCCACCTCGGCCTCCCAAAGTGCTGGGATTACAGGTGTGAGGCACCGTGCCCGGCCAGCTGTGTGATCTTGAAAAACTTACCTCCTCTCCTGGAACCTCAGCTTACTCATGTTCAGGAGGGAGTAAGCACCGCCCAGCTTGTTGTCACGGTTAGAGGTGGTGATGTAACATGTCTGGCATCTTCTCAGCTCATTCGTCTTTTGCTCAGACCTTCCCGCGAGGGAATCCCTGTATATCCATGTTCTAATGCTGGATATTTTGAAACGTGTATTTTACACATCCTGGATAAAATAGATGAGGCCCTTTAGGAAAGAAATGGGCGTCAATGCACATTATCAGAGCAGCAAAGGGACGAAGCAGCTGGAGTCCGCCAAGCTGGAGGCTGTGCCTGGCAGCACACACAATGCAGTTGTCAGGGGGAGAGGTGCGTGGAGCTCATTAGACACACTTCTAAATTGGAAAAGGACTGTCCCACATGCAGCATGGGGACTGCCAGAGTCATGAATCGTTATAATTGCACCTTTCCAATTAGTCCAAACCACCAGCAATAAAACTTGATGGTGAAGGACATTTTCATTCCCTCATGGAAAGAAGTGCAAAGAGGGCAAAAAGGAGCAGGGAATGGGTGCTGCGGGAACAAGTAAGGTTAGAAGGCAAATGAAATGAGAGAAAATACCCAGCTTGGTACCTGTAAATAGCAGATGTTCAATACATGGTGGTCACTCTGCTCCCTCCCACCACCTCAGCTGCCTCCACACCGGCCCTCCCCTGCCTGACTCTTTTCTGTCTTCCTGAGGCCTGGTCACCAGCCTGTTTCAAGCAGGTGTCACTTGCCTGGAGCCTTGTCTTGTCCTCCCAAGGAAGCCAGAGAAACAAGTTCTTAGGAGCCCCACCCATCCAGTCACCTTCTCTGCCATTTTGCCTCTTGGGACTACCCTCTAGTTCACTGGCTAATGAGTGCTTCTTCATGCGGGAGTGGTGGGGATCTGCAGGTCCTGAGCCCAGACCTGCAGACCACTCATTATTTTACAGACATTTGTGGAGTACCTACTGTGTGCCAGGCACTGGGACACAGCAGTGAATTAAGCAAAGCTCCTGCCTGAGGGGCTCACATTCTAGTGGAGGGGGACAGGCAACAAATTGCACAAATATGTCAGTGGCACCGGATGTGACAGTGATCAGCAGTGGAGAAAAGCAGAGCCTAGTAGGGGGACAACGAGGGCCTCGCAGAGAGGGCAGTGTGTGAGGAAAGCCCTGAAGGAGGTGAGAGGACGGCCACCTAGGTATTTGGGGAAAGAGCGTCCCAGACAGAAGGAAGAGCAAATGCAGAGACTGGCAGGCGGAAAGCAGCCCCAAATGTCTGCAGACAGTGAGGAATGCAGTGTGTTTTGGGGTGGAGTTGGAGGAGGGCAGGCAATAAGAATGATCTAAGAGATGAATACGGGACCTTAGAGGCCACTGCAGGACTTGGATTTCACCCTGAGTGAGATAGAAGCCACTGCAGGAACCAGCTCTGGCTAATGTGTTAACAGGATTCTTCTGGCTGCAGACCCAACAGACCAAAGGGGGGTGAGGGCAGAAGGCGGTGACCTGGGAGAATGTTGTGATAATCCAGGAGGAGACGGTGGTGCTTGGAGGTGGCAAGGAGGGGTCAGACTCTGAAGGTAGTGACAACAGGACGTACCCACAGGGCGGATGTGGAGTGTAAGAGGATTCGGGGATGACTCCGGGGGTTTTGATCTGAGCAGCTGGAAGAATGAAGTTGTAATCTTGGCTGGGTGTGGAGGCTCACGCCTGTAATCCCAGCACTTTGGGAGGCCGAGGCGGGCGGATCATCTGAGGTCGGGAGTTCGAGACCAACCTGACTAACATGGAGAAACCCCATCTCTACTGAAAATATAAAACTAGCTGGACATGGTGGCGCATGCCTGTAATCCCAGCTACTCGGGAGGCTGAGGCAGGAGAATCACTTGAGTCCGGGAGGCGGAGGTTATGGTGACCTACAAGCATGCCATTGCACTCCAGCCTGAGCAACAAGAGTGAAACTCCGTCTCAAAAAAAAAAAAAAAAAGGTTGTAATCTTACTGAGGTGGGGAGGCTGTGGCTGGAGCAGGTGTCGGGAAGCTTGGAGGCTCAGTTTTGCACTTGTTGAGTTTGACACACAAGTAGGCCTCCAAGGAAGACATTGCACAAACACTAGTCTGGGATTCAGGAGAGGTCTGGACAGAGAGTATAAATCTGGAGTCACTGGCATATAGATGGAATTTCAGCACTTTCCTAGGGTGTCAATGACAGCTGACACTCTTCTCCCCCAACAAGTGCAGCCTCAGACACCAGGCAGGGACCTAGTGAAGGACTGTTGACCAGACAGATGTTCAGATCAATGCACTTTTACATCAAAACCATCTTGCAGTTTCCACAAATGCAACAGACATCGCTGGGTGTGGTGACTCACACCTGTAATCCCGGCACTTTAGGGGCTGAGGCAGGTGGATCACCTGAGGTCAGGAGTTTGAGACCAGCCTGACCAACATGGCAAAACCCTGTCTCCACTAAAAATACACACACACACACAAAATTAACCAGGCAGGGTGGCGCACACCTGTAGTCCCAGCTACTTGGGACGCTGAGGCAGGAGGATCGCTTGAACCGGGGAGGCAGAGGCTGCAGTGAGCTGAGGTTTCCCACTGCTCTGGGTGACAGTAAGACTCCATCTCAAAAAAAATAGCAAAAAATAACTAGACATCATTACTATAAGAAAAGGGGGGTTCTTTACTAACAGTCCCCTACCATCTCTGTCCCAGCCCCACAACAAGAAGAGACCCCTCCAGCCACCAAGCCCCCTCTGGAGCCACGCCTAGGAGAGCTGACAGTGACAGACGTGACCCCCAACTCTGTGGGCCTCTCCTGGACAGTCCCTGAGGGCCAGTTTGACTCCTTCATGGTCCAGTACAAAGACAAGGACGGGCAGCCTCAGGTGGTGCCGGTGGCTGCAGACCAGCAGGAGGTCACAATCTACAACCTGGAGCCTGAGAGAAAATACAAGATGAACATGTATGGACTACATGATGGGCAACGCGTGGGCCCCCTGTCTGTGGTCATCATGACGGGTGAGTAATGGGGGGACTCAGTCCCCATCTCTGGTTATCCAGAGCTCCCCACTCCATGGCCCTTCTCCCAGCCCTGCCTTGGTACCACCGCACCCTCACTGAGAGGCTGGATCCCCTCAGGCCCTGACTCGGTGACCCTGCGAGTCTTTCTGTTCCCTGACCCCTTTACTTCTCCCAGGGCTGGAACCTTCTCAGCCCTCCAGCTCCTTCCCCATCTCCACTCTGCCCCCCGCCTAGGGGAATGTCTTCTTCCCATTTGGCCTAAATCCAGCCACAGACTTTCTCTCCCCTTCTCCAACTGCCCATAGCTATTTCCACCCCTTCTCTTTACAACCCTGCTGTGACTTGGACACAGCTGCCACCTCCCGCTTCTGGCCTTTTTTGTTGAGGCGAAGTGCTGCATATCCTGAGTCCCTTCTCAGGAGTCCTCTGCCACCTGCCTGCACTGCCTTCCATCCTGGCCCACGCGAGTTTTCGTCTCTCCAGGAGGCCGCCCTTGCTCTTGCTCCAGGCTCCTTCCTGCCCCTCATGGTTTCCTGGGCACAGGTTCTCCACAACTTTTGTGCTGTGGCATCTGGTGAAACCCCTACCCCGCCTCAAGGCAATGTTTTTAAATCTGTAAAATAAAATGTATAGGATTACAAAGGAAACAAATTATATTCATAGACAGTTATCAAAATATTTCTTTTTTATTTTTGAGACGGAGTTTCGCTCTTGTCACCCAGGCTGGAGTGCAATGGCGCGATCTCGACTCACTGCAACCTCCACTTCCCGGGTTCAAGCAATTCTCCTGCCTCAGCCTCCAGAGTAACTGGGATTACAGGCACGCACCACCACACCCAGCTAATTTTTTGTATTTTTAGTAGAGACAGGATTTCACCATGTCGGCCAGGCTGGTCTCAAATTCCTGACCTCAGGTGATCCGCCCACCTCGGCATCCCAAAGTGCCACGCCACGCGTGAGCCACTGCACCTGGCCCAAAATATTTCTTAAAAATCCAAATTTATGATTTAGTAATACTTGAACTTATTGACTAGCTCATTAAATAACAGGACTTGGTGATGTGTTTACTAAACTACAAAATTTAGAAGCAGTGATGGATATAAAAGGTATTTTAAAGTTTCTGCAATAACTCTAAGGTGACGTGAAAACATCCGTGGTTTCTATTGGTAACAAAGTCACAATAATTCTACTCTGGTTGGTTTTCTATATTAGTTTTTGAAAGAAATGCTGCATTTCAGTTAGAGGTCTGGAAATAAAGGTGTAACTATTCCCCATCTCAGTTCACAGCCCCCTTGAGGCCCTCAAAACCCAGGGGTTCCCCCTCAGAGATCTCAACCATGTTCTTTGTCTTCCCAAATCCCAGCTCCCCTCCCACCAGCCCCAGCCACGGAGGCCTCCGAGCCTCCCCTGGAGCCACGCCTAGGGGAGCTGACAGTGACGGATGTAACCCCTGACTCTGTGGGCCTCTCGTGGACAGTCCCTGAGGGTGAATTCGACTCCTTTGTGGTTCAGTACAAGGACAGGGACGGGCAGCCGCAGGTGGTGCCTGTGGCTGCAGACCAGCGGGAGGTCACCATCCCTGGCTTGGAACCTTCCCGCAAGTACAAGTTCCTGCTCTTTGGGATCCAGGACGGGAAACGACGCAGCCCAGTCTCTGTGGAGGCAAAGACGGGTGAGAGGGGCCCCCACACAGCTGAGCCTGAGGCCACAGCCTTCCCACCTTTCTCTTCCCTCCCTCTACTGAGTCTTGCCTTTGTCCACCTGCTCTGTCTCATTTGAAAAGCCACATGGTGCTAGTATGGTGACTCACGCCTGTAATCCCAGCACTTTGGGAGGTCGAGGCAGGTGGATCACTTGAGGTCAGGAGTTCGAGACCAGCCTGGCCAACATGGCAAAACCCTGTCTTGACTAAAAAGACAAAAATTAGCTGGGTGTGGTGACGGGCGCTAGTAATTCCAGCTACTCGGGAGTCTGAGACACAAGAATCACTTGAACCCGGGACGTGGAGGCTACAGTGAACCAAGATCGTGCCACTACACTCCAGTCTAGGTGATAGAGCGAGACTCTGTCTCCAAAAAGACCAAGAAAAAAAAAAAAAAAGAAAGAAAAGCCACAAAGCAGATGAGGACCAGGAGACTGGGTCCAGTTCCTGGGTCTGCTCTCCGCTGCTGACTCTGCCTCTCTTCTTGTAATTTCCACTGTTGTTGGATGAGGGAAGCCCCTGCAGGCCTCTTCCTGCAGGGTGGATGTGGGAGCCTGGGGGTGCTGGGAGAAGGGGCGAGGAGAGCCAGGAGCCCTTCCTGCCTTGCGAATCCATCACCTCCTGAGAGTCTTTGCTGTCTCCCCTACGACTCTCACCCAGGTTCTCAACCTCCTAGCTCAGGCCTGTCTGGGCCCATATGTGCCTCCTACAGAGACTGTCCTTCCTTCTCTGCCGTCCTTCTGGAGCCTCAGAAATTGGGAACCAGAGGAGCCCAGCCCAGCTGTGCCCCTTTCCGAGGGTTCAGTCCAGGCCCTCCCCTGCCCCTGGGGGCTCCCTGTTGCCAGAAAACTTGCAATAACAATGTCGTCAGCATCCTCACCGTCCAGGAAGGCAGCAGGCCAGCTCCTTCTCAAGCCCTGGGATGGCTCCTCGGGCAGACACTAGATCCCTTCCCTGCCTGAGCTCCCCAGCTTCATCCCCCTCAACATTCTCACAGGCAGCCCACGCTTCTTTACCAGGTCCCATGGGAGCCTTAGTTCTCCCGGGCCAGCCAGTGAGAATAAGAAAGGGAAAGGAGAAGGAGTGAGAGCTACCTGTGTCATATCATCCTGCCTCCCCCACCTGCTGTCTGCCCCCATCAGGGATCCTGTGCTCCTCGGGGCTGGCCAAATCACTCCTTTCCTCAGGGGCCAGCCAAGTCATGTGCTCCTGGGTAAGAGGAGATAGAGACCCAGTCTGCAAGCAGCTGCACCCTGCTGGGTGCTGGGGAAGCAGTCTGTGAGAGGTGGAAAGAGGCTGGACAGAAAGGGGAGTAAGACGAGGCAGGGAGCTAGGGAATCTCTTTTCCCGGAGGTGACTCAGGACAGGTGACCCTCCCAACTTGGGTCAAGGGGAGAGAGGCGTGGACCAGATGGAGATGGTGGTGAGGATGGGAGGTGATGGAAATATTTTGGGGAAGCACTGAGCATTTGGGCAGTTCTGGGTTTTTCCAGCCCCAGAGGGAGGCAGTCAAGGAGTCGTTCTGGAAAAAATAAACACAAGAACCTTTCCTCTCCATCAGCTGCCCGAGGTGACGCCAGCCCAGGGGCCCCACCTCGCCTTGGGGAGCTGTGGGTGACAGACCCCACCCCAGACTCACTGCACCTCTCCTGGACGGTCCCTGAGGGCCAGTTCGACTCTTTTGTGGTCCAGTTCAAGGACAAAGACGGGCCCCAGGTGGTGCCCGTGGAGGGCCACGAGCGCTCTGTCACCATCGCCCCTCTGGACGCCGGCCGCAAGTACAGATTCCTCCTCTATGGCCTCCTGGGCAAGAAGCGCCATGGCCCCCTCACTGCCGACGGCACCACGGGTGAGGGGCATTCCCTGCAGGTCCCTGCTCTGCTCCCCTCAGGCCAAGCAGCAGATGATCACTTGTGGTGGCTGCCATTACCATTATTTGGCCCCAGCCACTCGGCTCAGATCCAGCTCCCCACGTCCCTGCACAAGCCCCTAGCACAGCCCAGCAGGACTCAACCACGCAAAGCCCTGTCTCCAGACCTCTCGATCCTGCCCTTCGAGGTCACCCAGGCTTCCAGAAACAGCTCAGCCGTTTCCTCTCCGTGTCTCCATCTCAGAGGCCCGGAGTGCTATGGACGATACTGGAACAAAGCGTCCCCCAAAGCCCCGTCTGGGGGAGGAGCTGCAGGTGACCAGCGTGACCCAGAACTCCGTGGGCCTCTCCTGGACAGTCCCTGAGGGCCAATTTGACTCCTTTGTGGTCCAGTACAAGGACAGGGACGGGCAGCCCCAGGTGGTGCCCGTGGAGGGCAGCCTCAGGGAGGTCAGCGTGCCGGGCCTGGACCCCGCCCACAGGTACAAGCTGCTGCTCTATGGCCTGCACAGCGGCAAGCGTGTGGGCCCCATCTCAGCCGTCGCCATAACTGGTGAGTGTGCGGCAGCTGGAACACCTATGCCTCCTTCCCGCCTGGCTCTCCAAGTCTGACTGAGCCATAAGATCTCTGAACTTCCCATTTTATATCATTTCCATTGATCCAGAAAGTTTCCTTGTGCCGCTTTAGAGTCCACTGCCCCAGCCCCAGCCGCCAGCAACCACTGTCTGCTTTCAGTCATTCTGGAGACAGCATTTTGGCTTTCTGTGTAATGGAATCACAATACGCAGTCTCCTGTGTTTCGTTTATTGCACGTAGCACAATGCTTTTGAAATTCACCCACGTGCAGCAAAAGCTGGTCTTTCGATTGTTGATGCTTGCCCTCGCTCCCTCTCCTCCCTCACTTCTCCTGAGAGTCTGGGTGCAGCAACCGACCAGCCATCTGTCTCTACCTGTCTCTGTGAACCAGCCCGCAGGGAAGACACGGAAACTGAGACCACGGCCCCGACCCCTCCAGCGCCTGAGCCCCGCCTCGGGGAGCTGACAGTGAAGGAGGCCACGCCACACACCCTGCATCTCTCCTGGATGGTGACTGAGGGAGAATTTGACTCCTTCGAAATCCAGCACACAGATAGAGAAGGGCAACTCCAAACGGTCCGTACAGGAGGTGACCAGAATGACATCACCCTCTCTGGCCTGGAATCCGACCACAGATACGTGGTGACCCTGTATGGTTTCCGCGATGGGAAGCATGTGGGTCCTGTCCATGTCGAGGCCCTGACAGGTGAGCACTCTGCCCACTGTGCCTCCTTTCAGATGGTGGGAGAGTCCAGAGGAGAGCAGAGTCCCGCAGATACCCTGCCCACCTCAGTCCTCTCTTTCCATGTCTCTGTCCAGTCCCGGAGGAGGAGGAGCCTTCGGAACCTCCCACCGCAACCCCCGAGCCCCCCATCACACCTCACCTGGGGGAGCTGACCGTGACAGACGCCACCCCCGACTCCCTCAGCCTGTCCTGGACAGTTCCTGAGGGCCAGTTTGACCACTTCCTGGTCCAGTACAGGAACGGAGACGGGCGGCCCAAGGCTGTGCGGGTGCCAGGGCATGAGGATGGGGTCACCATCTCGGGCCTGGAGCCAGACCACAAATACAAGATGAACCTGTACGGTTTCCACGGTGGCCAGCGCATGGGCCCTGTGTCTGCAATCGGGGTGACGGGTGAGTGAACAGTGGGAGCCACAGGGTGGGTGCTGTGGGAGGGCCACCCTCTTGCTCTTTGGTGATGACTGGTGGGGAATGTGACAGGGGTCTGGTCAGCACCACAGACTTGCTTGTGGCTGGGGCTGGGGCTCCCCTTGGACCTTCCTGTGAGGTTGACCCCTGGCTCCTCCTGAGCGGAGAGGCGCCGTCGGGAGCTTTGCTGTGCTGGTGGCTGTCCCAGGTCCCCCACAGCTGACCCTGGAACTTGTCATGTGTCAACTGATCAGGACCACCCAGCCCCAAGAATGGGCTTCTCTGAAATGACCTCAGGTCCCCCAGTCATAACCTTGGGTTCTCCCTCCTTTTCCCCAAGTCCCAAGGACATCCCCCAGGGACCCTGCCTCACTCTCTCTGTGTCCTTTTTTCTCAGCTGCAGAGGAAGAGACCCCCAGCCCCACAGAACCCAGCACGGAGGCCCCGGAGCCCCCCGAGGAGCCGCTCCTGGGGGAGCTGACAGTGACAGGATCCTCCCCTGACTCGCTGAGCCTCTCCTGGACCGTCCCCCAGGGCCGCTTCGACTCCTTCACCGTGCAGTACAAGGACAGGGACGGGCGGCCCCAGGTGGTGCGTGTCGGGGGCGAGGAGAGTGAGGTCACCGTGGGGGGCCTGGAGCCCGGGCACAAGTACAAGATGCACCTGTACGGCCTCCACGAGGGGCGGCGTGTGGGCCCGGTGTCCGCTGTGGGCGTCACGGGTGAGTGTGCGCTGCAGAGCCCTCTGGGTTGGGTCTTAGGAAAGTGCAGCCTCCAGCATCTCTTCCACTAGGGACCCAGGATCCCAAGACCTCAAACCTATAATGCACCCTGTTCGCTAAAGCCTCAGGATGGGTGTGATCTGGGGACTGAGAGAGCAAATCCAGGAGAAGTGCCAGCCATGTGGGAGAGGCTCCCGGGGACTGAGGCCTCTCGGGAGGTGATTCACTGGCTGGTTTGTGGCTCTGCTTTTCCTTGGAGCTCTATAGAGAACTCTTTTTGTGGGATTGGAACACATTTTTGAAATACAAATTAATTAAATTAAAAGTATTTGTTAAATAAAATTTCAAATGTGTAAATAGAAAGAATAGTACAAAGACTTCAGGTACCCATCACCCTGCCACCCTCCTTCAATCAAATATCAACTTCTGGCCAGTCTGACTCATCTCTGCCCCACTCATGTACTCCACTAGAATCACTAGAATGTTTTTCTTTCTTTCTTTCTCTCTCTCTCTCTCTCTCTCTCCCCCCCCACCTCTCCCTCTCCCTCTCTCTCCCTCTCTCCCTCTCTCCCTCTCCTTCTTTCTTTCTTTCTTCCTTTCTTTTGACAAGGTCTCACTCTGTCACCCAGGCTGGAGTCTACTGGCACAATGACAATTCACTGCACTGCAGCCTCAACCTCCCGGGCTTAAGGGATCCTCCCACTTCAGCCTCCCAAATAGCTGGGACTACAAGCGCACTCCATCATGCCCAGCTAATTTTTTGTGTTTTTTGTAGAGACAGGGTTTAGCCATGTTGCCCAGGCCAGTCTTGAACTCCTGGGCTCAAGTGATCCTCCCACCTCAGCCAAAGTGATGGGATTCCAGGCGTGAGCCGCCACACCCGGCCTGAATGTTTTCTTTATTAACACCTTCATTGAGATATAATTCATGTGGCATAAAACACACTTGTTTTAAGTGCACAGCTTACTGGTTTTAGTATCTTTACCTACTTGTGCAGCCATCACCACAATCTAATTTTAGAACTTTTCCATCACCCCCAAAAGAAATCTTGGGTCCAGACCCATTCCTATCTCAGCCCTAGTTTATAACCAATCTAATTTTTTCTCTGTAGATTGCTTTTTCAGGACATTTCGTATAAATGGAATCACACAATATGTATCCTTTTGTGTCTGGCTTCTTTCACTGAGCATAATGTTTTTGAGGTTCATCGATGTAGCATGTAGAAGTACTACATTTACTACATTGCTATTGATTGATTGATTGATTTTTTTTTTTTAAGACAAATTCTCACTCTATTGCCAAGGCTACAGTGCAGTGGCATGATCATAGCTCACTGCAGCCCCAAAATCCTGGGCTCAAGCCATCTCAGCCCCCCAAGTAGCTGGGACCACAGGTGCTTGCCACGACACTCAGCTAATTTTTAAAATTTTTTTGTAGAGATGAGGTCTTACAGTGCTACCCAGGCTGATACCAAACTCCTGGCTTCAAGGAATCCTCCTGCCTGGGCCTTACAAAGTGCTGAGATAACAGGCATGAGCCACCTGCTCTCAGTCACTACATTGCTTTTTATTGCCAAACAGTATTGCATTGTATGGTTATACTACTGCAATATTTTAAAATGAACCACAGACACCCTATCCTTTCATCACTAAATATTTAAAGGTATATCTCTTTTTTGAAAAATTATTTTTCAAAAATCCACAATACAGCCAGGTGAGGTGGTTCATGCCTGATCCCAGCACTTTGGGCGGCCAAAGCAGGTGGATCACTTGAGGTAAAGAGTTTGAGACCAGCCTGACCAACATGGTGAAACCCCATCTCTACTAAAAAAGAAAAAAAAAAATACAAAAAAGCAGAGCGTGGTGGCACGTGCCTATAGTCCCAGCTACTTGGGGGGCTTGAGGCACAAGAAATTGCTTGAACCCAGGAGGTGGAGGTTGCAGTGAGCCAAGATCGTGCCACTGCACTCCGGCCTGGGTGACAGAGCGAGACTCTGTGTCAATAAATAAATAAATAAATAATAAAATTCCACAATACAATTAGCATACCTTGATAAATGGACAATCATGCCTTGATATCACGTATCCAGGTAGTGCTGCAGTCTCCTGAGTGTCTCATAACTATTCTTTTCCAATTCGTTGCTGAAATTAGGTCTATAGAAGGAGGATACATTGCAATTGAGAAAACTGAAATGTTAAGTGCGCAGTCAGAGAAGGCCCAGAAGAAGGTGGCTTTTGAAAAAGACTTAAAGGAACGGTGGGGATGAGCCATGAAGATATCTGGGGAAAGAACATTTAGGTGGAGGGAACAGTCACTGCAAAAGTGCTGAGGTAGGAGGCTGCCTGGCATGTTTGAGGGACCATAAGGAAGCCACAAAAGACTGTAACGATCATAATCAGAAATCGATCTTCAGTTAGGCCCAGACTGGGCCCACCTTCTGACCTGAGTTCAAGCAGCTGGGGCCTCAACAGCTCCTTCCAGCAACCGAAAAGATTCTGTTTCTATCTCTTCCCAGCCCCCAAAGAGGAGTCCCCTGATGCTCCTCTTGTGAAGCCGCGCCTAGGGGAGATGACAGTGAGAGACGCCACCCCTGACTCCCTCAGCCTGTCCTGGACAGTCCCCGAGGGCCAGTTTGACCATTTCTTGGTCCAGTACAAGAATGGGGATGGGCAGCCCAAGGCGGTGCGGGTGCCAGGACACGAGGACGGGGTCACTATCTCGGGCCTGGAGCCAGACCACAAGTATAAGATGAACCTGTATGGCTTCCATGGTGGCCAGCGCATGGGCCCTGTGTCTGCTGTTGGTTTAACTGGTGAGTGTGCAGTAGGGCACTGGGCCCTGCCCTGAACTAGACTCAGTTTCCCCTTTATTGTCGGTATCTGGTGGCTTTATTTTCCTTTCCCTGAGCCTCCAAGCTCCTGGGAATGGTTCTGCTGGTGCCTTCACTCCAAGCCTTTGGTATTGCCCCAGGTCTTCTACCCTTTACACATGGGCTTTTTGGGTTCTCAAAGAGGTGGGGGACCAGGAAAATAACACAGACTGAGGTACACCTGGGGTTGACCATAGCCTCAGCCCATTTGAGCTGTGTGACCTCAAGAGAATCACATAACCTGTCTGGGCACGGTGACTCACGCCTGTAATCCCAGCACTTTGGGAGGCTGAAGGGGGCAGATCACCTGAGGTCAGGAGTTTGAGACCAGCCTGGCCAACATCGTGAAACCCCCATCTCTACTAAAAATACAAAAATTAGCTGGGTGTGGTGACACATGCCTGTAGTCCCATCTACTTGGGAGGCTAAGGCAGGAGAATGGCTTGAACCCAGGAGGCAGAGGTTGCAGTGAGCTGAGATCGAGCCACTGCACTCCAGCCTGGGTGACAGAGCGAGACTCTATCTCAAAAAAACAAAACAAACAAACAAAAAACACACACACAACCTCTCTGTACCTCCTTTTCCTCATCTGTAAAGAAGGAATAACCATACCTGTCCTGAAGGATGGGTGGGAGTGTGGTTTGGCTCTCACATTCAACGAGAGATAACTGCAGTCTTTCCCTTCTGAGGAAAGTAGGAAGTTCCTGAAAATCCCTTGGGGCAAATTCTCATAATTATCACTGATTTCCGTGGGAAAAATTGTATGTGTTCTCTAAGCCCCCAGATTAATACCCATTTACTTTTAAAACAACACTGAATCCTGTTAACATGGATACTATTACTTTAATTACAAATATTGGCCATGTGCACAACTTAACAAGGCATTTTCCCT